AGGTCGAAATGTTCTTTTTCAAACCGACTCCACACACCTGCTTCAACATCATGGTCTCTTTTAAAATCAATGCCGACACCTTAAAACACTCACACACGTATATATATATATATATATATATATATATATACACAGTATATATAAATCCATACATATATAGAAATACGAAATATATTAATATAATCATATATAAAATATATATAATATAAATATATATGAATATATATAGTTATCTATACAGTTTATATATATATATTTCTATATATTTATGCATTTATATATAATTAATAATAATCATAATATAAATATATACATAATTATATATATTTGAATATATAAATATATATATGGAGAGACAGATAGGTTGCTGATATGTGTAGTCACTCATTCAGGGTTAATCAGAGTGTGATGTTAGCCTATTTCCATGGAAATACAGTGACATGGGCTTTTACTTGTTCTTACTCTTGGCAGTGAGCAGCTGTCAGGACCCACTTGGGGTCAATCAGTATTCCACCACAGGTTCCTTTGTCCTTAAGCAGAGCCAAGTAAGGCATGGAGTGGGGCACCACTTCTTTGCCATTGATAATGTCCACACCTTCACCTGAGGGCAAAAAAAATGAGCACATAAAAATAAAATAAAATATAAAAATATAAAAATAATAAATCAAATATTTCAGAAATACATACAAAAAAGTGCTCACCTGACTGGACAACAAAGAGCAAAATGGCGGAGAAGAAAGCGGTGAAATCGAAGAGCTGCACCATTTCTGCTTGTCTCTATGTGATAGACTACGATGATGACTGGAACTCAACCTCTGTTAACATACTTGTCTTTATATGGGGGACTGAAAGGATGTGGTCAGACCATAGAAACAACATGATCTTTGACTGTGGGGACAGGTTTTTAAAAGTAATTCTGCTCACAGTATCACGTGCAGATATGTTAGTCTAGGCGTCACTAATTTTTTAAAACTGAGAGCTGCTTCAAGTAATCCGAAGAGCTACTTGTTTGATACAGACATAATTTATTAAAAATCAGTTCTGGGACATACAATAGTAGACACTCTTCTTACCAGCATAATTAAACACCACTGCAAGTGGAACTTTTTCAAAAAGAACAGTAACAGTACAATTTTTGGCCCCATTGTTGACTAGTTTCATTTTCAGAACGTAGGTAACATTAGGTAGTCCATGGGGGGGGTACCAGGTGACCCCAGCACCTCTGGTCTAGGCCAATATAATGATAGTATAAATTAATAACATAATTTGGACAAGTTTGGCTAGCCGAATTAAAAAACCCAAATGGGCCGTATCCAGACCTCGGGCCATGGTTTGCCAATTCCTGGTCTAGGCCAATGAGATATTGAGAAATTCAGCAAGAGCTGTAGAAATAATTCAGCTAATTAAATAAAGGCAATATTGTAGTAAAGTGTATGAAGTTATATGTACAGTAGTTATACTACAGATGTTTTCAAGTCTAGATCTTAGTTAAAGAAGACAGTGACACTATGTTGTCTTCAGTTGAAACTTAAGTGGAAAAATTCACTGCTTTTAGTTCCACAGTATCTGTCAGTCATTGAAAGGTCAGTATCTGCTGACAGTGCAGAACGCACGGCTGTCAACTAAAAGAACTAGCCGATTGAGCTAATGAGGTGTTTTTATTCGGAAACGCAGCGACACACTTGATCCGTTTGCAAACATTGCGTAAAAGGGAGCTAATGCTATAAAAGTATGAGAATTTATAAGTATAATTACAAATATAATTATAATATTACTCCTCCTTGAATCGCAACCTTAACGTGGTGGAGGGGTTTGAGTATCCGAATGAACCTAGGAGCTATGTTGTCGGGGGCTTAACGCCCCTGGTAGGGTCTCCCAAGGCAAACAGGTCCTAGGCGACGGATCAGACAAATAGCGATTCAAAACACCCCCTTGATGAAGAAAAAAAGCAAATCAATCAAAGAGGTTCACGTCGCCCGGATTGACGTCACCGGGGCCCCACCCTGGAGCCAGGCCCGGGGTTGGGGCTCGCAGGCGAGGGCCTGGGGGCCGGGGCCTCTTCAGACTGCAAGAGTGAGACACAACATGAAGGTCAATTTAGCCACTTTCAAATCAACATCTTTAAAACACTCACACCTGTACAGATATATGTATATAAATGTATATATACACAGTACTTATAAATGTATACATATATAGAAATATATGTGTATAAACTGTATAAATAAATATTTTAATATATATAATATAATTATATAAATAAATATATACATACATAGTTATGTATACAGTTTATACACGTATATATTTTTATAAATAAATATACATACAGAGAGAGAGAGAGAGAGAGAGAGAGAGAGAGAGAAGATAGGTCGCTGATATGTGTATTCACTCATTCAGGGTTAATCAGAGTGTGATGTTAGCCTATTTCCATGGAAATACAGTGACATGGGCTTTTACTTGTTCTTACTCTTGGCAGTGAGCAGCTGTCAGGACCCACTTGGGGTCAATCAGTATTCCACCACAGGTTCCTTTGTCCTTAAGCAGAGCCAAGTAAGGCATGGAGTGGGGCACCACTTCTTTGCCATTGATAATGTCCACACCTTCACCTGAGGGCAAAAAAAATGAGCACATAAAAATAAAATAAAATATAAAAATATAAAAATAATAAATCAAATATTTCAGAAATACATACAAAAAAGTGCTCACCTGACTGGACAACAAAGAGCAAAATGGCGGAGAAGAAAGCGGTGAAATCGAAGAGCTGCACCATTTCTGCTTGTCTCTATGTGATAGACTACGATGATGACTGGAACTCAACCTCTGTTAACATACTTGTCTTTATATGGGGGGCTGAAAGGATGTGGTCAGACCATAGAAACAACATGATCTTTGACTGTGGGGACAGGTTTTTAAAAGTAATTCTGCTCACAGTATCACGGTGCAGATATGTTAGTCTAGGCCAGGGGTGACTCATTTTTTAAAACTGAGAGCTACTTCAAGGACACTAAGTAATCCAACGAGCTACTTGTTTGATACAGACTTCCAGAACAAAAAGACATTTTGTGTGACATTTTTAATGTTTAAAGATTGGATTAAAAAATCTGCGATGTACTGAGGGAGCGTAAGTAGAACTGCGATATAAAGAGGGACCACTGTAGGGTGAAAGTTATCACGTAATAACGTAAAACCTATCACGTAATAACATAAAACCTATCACAAAATAACGTAAAACATATCACGTAATTAGTGGCGCTTTGGCCCAGAGGCAATGTCTCTGTCATTGGTGTGGAACCCCAGGGTTCACCTCCTGGACAAGTTCGAATCCCGGTTAGGGCGGTTAATACCTTCCAGTGGACTCACCACCCGCAGGAAGGTTTGGGGAGTTGTTATGGTGCAATGTGATTTGGGTGGCGACTGCTGCCCCCGCGACCCGGTAACGGATAAGCGGATGAAAATGGATGGATGGATGGATGGATATCACGTAATTACGTGAAACTGAGCCAATGTGTTTTTTCTCAGTGTGGCAGCAATACACTTCCGTATCTTCTGTTCAAGTCCGTTAAAAACAATAAATGACTTTATAAAGCCATTTTTGTTAAATATCAATCTTTTGATCTGCCACAGTAATGTAATGAATTTAAATGAAAATACCTCAGGTTGAGGGCTTTTCTCAGTAATCTTTAGGTGAGATTAAAAAATAGATTAATTACATCAATTAATTAATCTCTCAACTTTTTTAATCTATTGACAGCACTAATAAAATATATATACAGTATGTATTATTATGTGAAAATGTTTCCCAGCTTCTGGGTTTCTTTTTGAACACCAAAAATAGATCTTTTTGCAATTCGTTCAATTTATTTCAAATAGTCAGGATTGAGAAAACACAACAAATGTGTTGTACTACAGGAAAAGTTTGAGTCATTGATATACTGACTCCAAAATGTCATATGATGGAGAGACAAATGATTCCACAATAGTAGATTAGTCAGACTTCTTCATTGTCTTTTTGATCCAGAAGATGTATTTCGCAGAGAGGAAAGTGTAAACTCCTGGCTTCTTAATAATGCCACAGCCACCTCCGAAAGAAGTTACTCCTACAAGCTGTCCGTCACACAACAGTGGACCTCCTGAATCTCCCTGCAAGTAATAAAAATGTACAGTACAGCCAAGGTTTCACAGAATGGCAGATGTTTTCCTAAAAAGATTTAAAAAATGTTACTTACCCTACAGCTATCAGCCTTGTCTTTGCCATTTGAACCAGCACAAATCATGTCCTTGTTAATGATGGGGTTAAAGTCATAATAGGAAGGAGAGTTACATTTCATCCTGTTGATCACAGTCACATTGACTGCCATCAAGACCTCAGACATTTTTTTAAGATTAGGCTTTGTTTCACCCCATCCAGCCACTGTACACTTGGTGCCATCTTCAGGTTCTTTGGCTGCAGTTTTCAAGTTGAAATAGTCCACCGTGTTTGTTCGCTTCACTGGTTTGTCAAGCTACAAATATGAAACACAGATGACCACAGATGACCACACATGATACGAAGGCAAATGTCTGTTTTTCTTGTGTTTTTTCCACAAAAGTGAAAACATCTTCAGCTTAATTGACTGCAGACAGAAAACAATACGATACATGTGATAATCGACACATTTACTAAGGGTTCACAGACTGACTGTCTGCTTCCTGGTTCTATACATGCAGGATGACATTTGAATCATTTCCCAGTAACATATCCTAATGGTATGATGCATAATTAATAATACATTTTCATCTCTGTGACAATTCACAAACTAAACTTTTTGTTATAGAACATGAATGCAGTACAGTACCTTGAGCAACATGAGGTCATTGATCTTTTCTGTTTTATTGTAGCATGGATGAGGATAATACTTTGCAACTTTTCTTATCTGCCTTTCTTGTTTTTCATCAGCACTGATAGAATGCACACCCAGAAGCACCTTCTTCAGACTGCAAGAGTGAGACACAACATGAAGGTCAATTTAGCCACTTTCAAATCAACATCTTTAAAACACTCACACCTGTACAGATATATGTATATAAATGTATATATACACAGTACTTATAAATGTATACATATATAGAAATATATGTGTATAAACTGTATAAATAAATATTTTAATATATATAATATAATTATATAAATAAATATATACATACATAGTTATGTATACAGTTTATACACGTATATATTTTTATAAATAAATATACATACAGAGAGAGAGAGAGAGAGAGAGAGAGAGAGAGA